ATTTATATATTAAATCAGTAAATATGTTTTGTTTATATATATAAAATATTAATATTTAGATATAAATTATATATGAATATATATATATATATATATATATTTGTTTTTTGTTTGTTTGTTTTTGTTATGAAATTACTAAAACTTAGTAAAAAAAAAAAAAAAATATAAAAATTAAATTTATTGGCCCAAGACCAAAGAGCCCACAACTAAGTCTGTAGATATGGCTTGGGTCCCTCAATGCAAGTCCCCCACCCCCCTTGTTTTAATTGTTTGGCGAAAATCAGGTCAAAAAAATATCATAGCACACCTTTCCAAACATGATGAATACTGTATGACTTAGAGTCAGGGGTTTGTTCAAATCCCTTAAGCATGAGCAATAATAATAATGCTTACCTCAGTGGGGTTTCCCAGTGTAATCAACAGAAAAACTACTATTGCATGAACCCAAAGTTACACATATCCAAAAGTTATAAATTCAAAGATTTTATTTTAAAGATTTCCATTTGTCTTAATGGATAAAGCAGAGCCCTCGAACCGTGTTTCATGTGGTCTCCTGCTGTTTATTAGCTCTTTATAATTCTCAATCAAGGCATCATTAAAATTTTATGGTTTCATATGAGAACAGTCTATGAATGGTTGCCGTCAGCCCTTTTCCAGACGCTGCTGCACTAATAGAATATGCAAGTCCTGTGGGAATCCACGGCCTAATCCGGCTCATAAACACACGTGCTGGACTGATGTTTTGTCTGGGATGCGTCCTGCTGAAGGCTGGCTCTCTTTATAGCTTACTTATGATGGAGTGAGACCATCAATCAGACGGCAGGAGCATAATGACAAAATCACGGAGCTATCGATCGGTCGGGCCTCTGTGGGGTGGAAGACACAGTGCTTGTTTACAGCCAGAGGACAGATAAAGCTACGCAGATCAATCAGACGAAGCCGAACGGATGGGGCAGGGCGGCTGAGACAACAAGAGAAGACATCTGAGGAGCAGCCTATTTTTTCCTAATGGCCCATGTTGTGCTGAGCTGTTTTAAGCCCTTTGTTGAATAGTCTGTGATGCTAACACATCACACACAGTCAGATCTTTTCAATGAATCCCATCCAAATGGTTCATAAATAAACAGTCTAGAGTCAACAACTCACCGACTCATTGACCTGCATATGAATTTACAATTTTTTCATTATTTTTAATGAAATGTATAATTTTATTGAGAAAGGATGGATTAAATTGATCAAAAGTCACAGTAAGGACTTTTACACTATTACCAAAGTCTTCTATTTCAAATAAATGCTGTTATTTTGAATTTTCTATTAGTTTTCACTGAAATATTAAGTTTTCAACAACTGTGATATTGACAAATGCTGTTATTTTGAATTTTCTATTAGTTTTCACAGAAATATTAAGTTTTCAACAACTGTTTTTACATTGAGAATATTAAGAAATGTTTCTTGAGCAGCAAATCAGCATATTAGTATGATTTCTGAAGGATCATGTGACACTGAAGACAGGAGTAATGATGCTGAATATTCAACTTTGTAATCACAGGAATAAGTTACACCTTAAAATATATTCAAATAGAAAATAGTTATTTTAAATTGTGATAATATTTTACAAAATTACTGTATTTTTAATCAGTTGAATGCAGACTTGGTGAACATAAAAGACTTCTTTCAAAAACAGGTTAAAAAATCATATTGATCCCAAACTTGAACGGTAGCATAATATGCAATGAATCGCTAAATCATTTTTTTTTTAAATAGTTCATTTAAACACACTTTTCATTAGAAAAGATTTGTGGAAAGACTTCCCATTAGTAGTAATGAATGTTAACAAGGAGCACAAAACAGGGATGGCAATGCTAAAATTTAATTATATCCATATAAACAGATGGAACCATTTCTGAGACAATGAGGGCTGATATTACAACCGTTTTATTCAACAATCTGTATAGTCTATTACGTCATAACTTGTCCTGCACCTGTGCTACAGATGCAAATGACACCTCATTTCATGCATCAGACATACAGTTTTTGCCTGGTGGGCAAAAAAATCTCACAGACTTTTGCTGTGAAATCTTTACCGATTTTTATAAAGTAAACATTTCAAGATGAACAATGAATATCCTACTTTTATATCATACTATCTGAGCCATAAAAGACTGATGTATCACAAAATACATAACTTAAAAAAAAAATAAATACTTTGTCTAAAGGTTCAACAAACTGTTCAATTAAAAAAGTTAGGTTGGGTTATACACCTATATCTACAGTAACTGGAAAGACACCTGCACACCATGTGCGTTGAAATGTTCTGAATGAAATGTTGGGAGTGCTGGTTTTCCACTTCTGGGACAAGCCAAAATGTTGGAGACATGACGAGTTGAGTTGTGATGTGTTTGCCTTCTCTCTTATTTATGACACATGGGCTGTCAATGCTTTAAATCATTGATTAGATCACAGATCCATCTTTGTAAGTAGTGCAGAGGTTAGTGGATTTTAGGGTGGATTTTCACCCTCATGTCACCCTCAAGTTCAGAACTGGATCAACCAGTTCAATGTAAATAAGGATCGTGTTGAGTAAAGACTTTCTGCACTTTTGTCAGGCTTTCATTCCGCTTTGTTCTGGTTCAGTTGGCAGGGCATGTTCATTCAACAGAATATCTGAATAAACAACGTCATGCTAAAAAAACAACATGTCAAAATTTTACCCACATTTTTGTTGTCTTTTGATACAGGGTGGGTAGGGACTGAGAAGAAAAGACGCACAAAGAGTTTCTGGATATATAAAGGAAGCAAAGGATTTTGAAATCACCTCAGACCGTTCCTCGGCACGTGCAACCTCCTCCTGGAGCAGATTGTGGGCAGTCTGAGGGCTGTGCTTCTCCGTGAAGACCTCTGGAAAACCACAAACATTTAATCTCAGTCAGTTTCAATTCTCAACATGACACTGGCTCAGAATCGAATTAAACAACACTATGAGAGATGGGAGCGAAAATGAATTTCTATAGATATTACTGTGACTCTACAGCACGTCACTTGCCCCGCTGCTGAATCTACAGCCCTACAGCAAAAACTGTGAAAGACAACATTGAATAATATGTAAATAATAAATAGCCTCCTGTTACACAGAGTGGGTGAATTTTAGTCTGTTTTCAGTTAATTGGTTGAACAGATTCACAAAATTGCTTAATCACTCGAAGAGTTGAGTGGTTCACAATTACTGAGTTAATAACTCGCTCATCAAAATGAGCCGTTACTGATATGTGTAGGGAAAATGTTTTGTGCTGTATATTTTATCTTACAGTTATCAATGGACTTAACGTCTGTTCACAGCAACACGAAAAGTTGGTTCAGACCAATGTGAAAAATCAGCAGACGGGCTGAATGAAAATGCGATTTCACTCTCGAACAGTAGGTGGAAAAGAGCTTAGATCACCTCTTCATAAAACACGTCGCACTGATGGCATGCAAATGTTTTTAGCAAAGAGGCACACGTTTCTTTAAGTTGTGTAGTGTATTTGCGACTTTTGACAAAGAGCGAATGTTTGCATCAGTCTGAACAGTATATTCAAATTTTGCCCTTAACATTCGTCTTGGTGTGAACATTGTGCTTAGAAGAAGAAAAACGCATTCATTCATATAATCCACTAGTAAACGGTAAATAGCTGAAGATTGCCATGATTGAGTTGCTAGTGTTGAACAGCAGTAAACTTAGGCATATTTAGGCATAATTTTGTGATTTCCATTATCAACAACTAAAACGGTTTCATTCATTTCATTGTGAAATGGACTAACATTTTTTTTTATAAAAATTACATGACAAAACATTTGAATATTTTGAAGAAACATCTTCACAACAATGTTGTGAACAGCAATGCATATGTAAATAAAACATAAGAATTATTCTATTGTCAAAGACAATAGATAAAATGGCATATTCAACATACCGTATGCATTGTAAATAGTATAAAATGATACTTTTGAACGTAAGCGTCACATATACAGCTTCATATGTATGGTTTTTCTAACATAGTTGGTTTGCTCGGTAGATCACGCGATACAGTAAGAAATCCCGTGAACCTACGGTTCGGCAAGACAGTTGAAACCTACGAATAAGGAAGTTAAAATAGCACGATTGCATCAGCGAATGCGTTTTTATCACTTTTGCCTTCGTAAACAATATCGGGTAGGTTTAGGGGGTTATGATATTTTCCAACATAATAGAGCATTAACATTTTAACGACACTCCCCGGCCGCACATATGAATTCTGAACTGCCACAATACGTACCTGAAACAACGTAATAAAGAACAAAACAATACATGCCTGTACCAATATAAAAATGTGGCCATGGTCACGTATTGAAGGCGCGTTTTAGCGCCACTCACTGGACATTTCCCTTTGAAACTCTCACAAAACGTGCAGTACGGTTGCAGAAATGTCGTATTTCCAATGAGCCTGGGCTGGAAAATCCAGACTCAAAAGGAGTTAAGAACTTAACTGTGTAAAGCAATTCAAATGAAAGTCCTATGCAAATGAAAGAACAGAAAAAGCTAACAAAATACTATAGATTTGACGAACTATACACAAAACATAAATAACTGCAATATTATCATATTGCGTTTCAGATATTGTTATAAATGTCCTATCTCTGAAGGCTCATTCACACTAAGGATGATAACTATAAATATTCACTCTAAATAATCATTCTAATTATATGAGGATAGCAAAGTTTACACCACAACTATAACAATAACGACACGGAGGAACGATATTGTTGGAATCACTTTCAGAGCTATTTTTTAATCTGATGAAAGATAAAAACATCGACAGCCAATCAGAATCCAGACTTTAAAGAACTTGAGAATTTGAAGCATTAGATTAAACAACCGCAGAGTGCTTATAAGAAATGTTTTCATACCTTGGTTTGTTCTTGGTGTGAATAGGCTGATTAACACCCGCAGTAACCAAGTTAACGACTTCCTGACGGAATCATGCGAGCGGTGGGTTAAAAACTCGCTCACTAAATCTGTCAGGAACTGTTACACGTTTGAACGTGCAAGCGCGCATTAGATTTGAGAGCTATGCACAAGAGGATGATTTCCAGAAAATAAAATACATTTCTGTCTGTTCTTCACATAAAGCTATCGCATGGCTTCAGAAGATTTCAAACATGCTATGATTGCTTTTGTGGTCCGTTTGGTGCATGATGCATGATTAACACATAAAAAACACTAGCTGATAGCTAGGGATGTGCGGGTCTAGTCGACTAGTCGACTAAACGGTACAGCTCCTACTAGTCGACACCGAAAACAATAGTCGATTACACGGCAGAAAAAAAAAACATGATTTTATCATTCAAATTACCATAATTTTAACATTGCATTTAAAACATTTTAAATAACAAGTTAAAATAAAACATTTGATAATTAATACATTATTTTAAAAAGTTTATCTGGGTGGAAACTACATTTTTACCTCAGACCTCACATGCGTTTTATTCGTGTCAGTTGCAGTGAGTTCAGAAATGACCATGCGAAAGACGAGCAAGGTGTGGTTACGAATGATGTATTACTCTTACCTTTATGAGCAAAAATGGCGGTGTATCCACTGAAAAAATATGCAAGTGATCGCGCTGGCTTCTCTATGTCCTGCAAAGCGCGCTTCAGCTTCCACTCTCCGCACAAACTATTGGATACATCGCTGAGTTTCGGTTCATTTTTGTAAAGCGCTCCTGATCAACACGAGACGGCAGAAAGCGCATCATGTTTGATTTCTTTATTTTATTAAAGCACAACGTTTTGTTGATATTGTGAGTGCACACAAATAAAAGTAGACCCTTTACAGTTACGAATGATGTATTACTCTTTTTAACGACCGCCTAAAATGAAATGATGATAACGCGAGGCAAGTGTGCGGCAAGCGGAATTCATTGAGGGATTTCACAGTGTGATTCATAGATTAAGTATTTCAAATATAGGCTATAATATATGCTACATGCACGCACAGAGGTTTTTTTTCTTACCATCTTTTGGGGGTTTCTTGCTTTTAGACTAGTCGATTAGTCGGATACAAAACTTTCGTTTAAACGACAGTCAAATTAGTCGTCGCGCACATCCCTACTGATAGCATCCCACTGCACAAACAGAAATGAGGTCTCTCGGAGGCTGGTAACTGTGTGCCAGCAGGACAAAAGAACATCACAACAGTGTGTGAAAACATATCTAGAGTGTGTTCAGCTGTGAAGAATCTCCGCTGCTTGAGTCTTGTGTAAAGTGCGGGACTGAAGCTGCTCTCGGGTCTCTTTGCAGTGTTATTGCAGGGCCCTGAGGGTGAGGGTGGATGCAATCACTTTCTGTTAGCTCATGTCCACTGATGAGAGTGAGGGGCTCGGACCCTCTAAGTGTTGTGCTGGGGTTGCTACGGCAACCGGCAATTATGCTAATGTGCAGATGTGCTGTGTTGAGTCCACAGGGGATATGAAAGCTGAGCTAGTGGCCATCGAGGGCATAGACAGGTCACGGCAATGACACCATTTGTGCTCGATTGAGCTGAGCCGCTCCCCAAACAAACCTCTATTATAGGATGGAAATGCTCCTGAGAAAATTACTGGGAAGGTACCATGGTAAAATGAAGGTATTAACTGGTAATTATAACGGTAATGTATGATTATTCACCGGTTAAATGGTAATCCGACACTGTGAAAAAAGTTAATTTTAATAAGGAAAAAATATATAAATGTTACATAAAAAAAAATACTATTTATACAGTGAATTTATTATACATGTATTACAGTATATTCATGTAATTTATTCAAGAAGATAATATATGCTCTTTTATGATTTTTCAGCATTATAAAGTATTAATCAGTTTAAAATGTAGGATGAAATGAGTATTATATTTAACAAATTGCTACATATACTTTTAAAGTAAAAGTAAATATTTGTTACAAATTATGTTTTACACTGAAAAACAACAAAACAGGGTGGTTATTGGAACTTCCTGCCAACATTTTCACTGCCCTCACCACAAAAAATAAAAAATTTCATTAGCAAAGTATTTTAAATGTGTCGCAAAAATATATATTAATCATTTCATTTAATGTTTCAGTTCTTTTTACAAAAAAAAGTCAAATAATTAAAAAACATTTATTATATACACTACCACTCAAAAGGTTGGGGTCAGTATTAAGATTTTAAAGGTTTATAAGAAATTTATATTTTTATTGAGAAAGAATGTGTTAAAGTTATCAAAAGTGTCAATAAAGACTTTTACATTTTTACAAAAAATTCTATTTGAAATAAATACTGCTTTTGAACTTTCTATTCATCTAAGAATCCTGAAAGTAGCTGCTAAAAATTCAGATTTCAAACATAAATTACATTTAAAACTACTAAATGGTTTATTTAAATTTTTAAATGAAAAAGAAAACAGTTCATTTCAATTGTAATAATTTTCCACATTACTGTTTTTACTGTATTTCTTTATTTTTTATCAAATATATGCATTATGCTTATACCTAGTAAGCATAAGAAACTAAAATAGAAGTATATAGTGTATAGAAATACAAACATTAGAATAATTTGATTGTCAAGAGATAATATTTGTTTTTATTGATCTTTTTTCCCTTCGTTAAAATGATACAAAAAGCAGTTTCATGGCTGGTAAGCAATATTTCTGTATGATACATTTTCTCAATTCACCTGCTATTGGCAGGTGTGGCAAAAACATGTAACATACTGTATGTGGCTCAAACGGACTGCAATTCTATTTGGTCCAGCTAGTAGTGCAGCAATTACACACATAATTACACTGTAATAATCATGGTAGTGACCAAAAACATGCCATTACCATTATACCACATCCAAATAGTCATGGTAATATCATGCTCCTATT